AAGAAAGGTCCAGGCCCGAAACGTCAGCCTTCCTGCTCCTCTGATGCTGCTTGGCCTGCTGTGTTCATCCAGCTCTACACCTTGTTATCTCAGATTCTCCAGCATCTGCAGTTCCTACTATCTCTTGCTCAAGTGATCAATAGTTTGGCTGGACGAGAACTACTTCCACCTTTCATGAGTCAACTAACACAATTAAAATTTTTCAGTCTTTAAGGATTTCTGATTCAATCTCAGCTCCTAATATATTTGATGGCAAGCATGAATTAATTTTGCTGCCATAAACAGTTTGCTCAATTTTTTCTTCATTTTTACAATGAATGAATGCAATTTTAATTATGTCACAAGCTAAACATTCCCATGGCAATCCCATGTAAATCAAGGTGCTGAGAATGTGTCACCTTAGAGTTTTACAGAGAGAGCTAGCCTGCGGGATAGATCAGTTAACATAGAAAAGTATGGGAACTTGTCACTGTATCAGAAAGATACACAACACAATTCTTGCTGTTGTTGTTTCTAGTAACTAATCATAGCTACTGAAGTTGTGTGTGAGCTAGTCTCTAGTTCTATTCTATGATAAGTGGCAACACAAAGGGATTTAGTGGTACTTGTCCATGAAACACAGAAACCTAGCTCACAGACACAGCAAGTAATCAGGAAGGCCAATGAAATGTTTGTTCCTATTTCCAGGAGATTGGAGTGTAAGACTAGGGAAGTCTTGTTGCACTGCAAGGTGCTGGTGAGATCACATCCAGAGCAGTTTTGACCTCCTTATTTAAAGAAGGATATTGGAGACAGAGCAGAGAACATTCACAAAGATGATCCATGGTGTGGAGGGATTGTCTTCTGAGCAGAGGCTAAACAAGTTGGGGCTCTATTTGTTGGAATTTAGAAGAATGAGTGGTGATCTCATTGAAACATATAGGATTATTAAAGGGCTCAAAAGGATAAATGCTGAGAGGATGTTTCTCTTCATGGAAGAGTCTAGAACCAGGGGGCACAGTCTCAGCATAAAGGGGTGCCAATTTAAGACTGAAATAAGGAGGAATTTCTTCTCTTGGTTGTGAATTTTTGAAACACCTTGTCACAGAGAGTTGAGGGGCAGATTCCTTGTGTTCATTTAAAACTAGGATAGATAGGTGCTTGGTCTGTAGGATTACAGGGGAAAGATAGAAAAATAGATGTGAAAGAATGTTGGAGTAGCCATGATCCTTTTGAATGGAAGAGCAGACTCAAGGGCCGAATGGCCCTACTCCTGTTCCGACTTCTTCTGGTCTTATAGTCTTAAGACTGGTAATGTTGCATGCTGATCTAATGGCCACTATTACCTTTGTCACTTCATTCCATTACTTTGATAGTAAACTTGTTTGTAACTAAAACACTCTGAATTATCAAGTCATATCCTTTCTTTAAATTTTAGATACAACTGAATCAGATATCAATAAAGGCAATGCTCAGAAAGCATGCATTATCAGACGTATTTGTCATCGTTGAATTTTCCTGCGTGTGCTTCACTAACCAATGTGGAATACCTGACTGTAGTGATCATGTTTTACTGGGAATGTCTGTCATATTAGGAGTGCTGTTGCTGCGGCTCACTAGTGGAAATAAATGAATTTATTGTTTTTTACAGTCAGGTGACTGATCTCTCCACTCTGTGGAGCTGCCTTAGGGTTATATGAATATAACAGCAATGGGAATGTTTTTGTTGTATGGTGAAGTTCCAGAATCAGTGTCTGAAGTGCAGTGTCATGATATTGCAATGATTCCATTTGAACTGCACCAACAGATACACATAAACACTAATTACTGGCAGGTAAACAGCAGGACAGCACCATTACAGCATTCAACTCCTCTGGCTAATGATTTATTCTGAGTCTTTTTTTTATAAATTAATAGGAGATTAATCCCCATTCCTCTAATACTTTTCTAAGAATCTGCAGGTCATGAATGTCTTATGTTTATGATCTGCCTGTAACAGTAACAGCCTAAGGTAATTAAATGGCTCACTTCAGGAACTGATTAATGTTTGATGAACCAGTAATTACCTGAGGTGCAAAGTCTCAACACATGTATCTATGTCAGTCTTTGCCCTGAGATCAGTAAGTGTGTCTTTTTGGACAATGACACAGTTAATTGAAGAGTTTAAATGAGGGCTTTCAGGCATCAGATAGGAGTCCCTGGATAGTCAATAAGAACAATGCAGCACTACAATGCTAATATAAAGCTTTATTAATAAAATATATTGTGCACTAAATAAAGGAATTGATGACTTTGATTAATTAGTACTTGGGTTACATAGAATTATACCATAGAATCAGACGAATTAGCACAACTGATAGTTTTTCTGCTTCATCTGAGCCTTTGTATTTGACCTAATCAGAATATCTTTGACTACTTTCTACACAGCATCCATATCTAGTACGCTATTAAATATATCTACACTGCATTCAGGTTAATTGCTTCAGTTTATAGCTATTTATATGTTTTAATTATTCCCATTCCTTCTTTTCAATATGCAGATGATTCAACAATAAGTGAGAGACAGGTAGTATTGAGGATGCAGGGAGGCTGCAGAAGGATTTGGACAGGTTAGGACGGTGGGTAAAGAAGTGGTAGATGGAGTACAACATGGGAAAATGTGAAGTCATGCACTTTGGTAAGAAGAATGCAGGTATGGACTATTTTCTACATGGGAAGAAAATTCAGAAATCTGAAGTGCAAAGAGGCTTGAGAGTTCCAGTCCAGGATTCTCTCAAGGTAAACTTGCAGGTTGAGTCAGTAGTTAGGAAGGCAAAAGCAACTTTGGCATTTATTTTGAGAGGGCTTGAATATAAAAGCAGGATGTACTTCTGAGGCTCTGTAAGGCTCTGATCAGGCCACATTTGGAGTATTGTGAGCAGTTTTGGGCTCCATATCTCAGGAAAGATGTACTGGCCCTAGAGCGGGTTCAGAGGAGGTTCATGAGAATGGTCCCAGGAATGAAAAGCTTAACATATGAGGAATGTTTGAGGGCCTGGGTCTATACTTGATGGAGTTTAGAAGGATGAGGGGGGGATCTAACTGAAACTTACAGAATACTGAATGGCCTGGACAGAATGGATGTTGGAAAGATGTTTCCATTGGTAGGAGAGACTAGGACCCGAGGACACAGCCTTAGAGTAAAGGGAAGACCTTTTAGAATGGAAGTAAGGAGAAACTTCTTCAGCCAGAGAGTGATGAATCTATGAAATTCGCTGTCACAGAAGGCTGTGGAGGCCAGGTCATTGAATATATTTAAGATGGAGACAGATAGGTTCTTGATTGTCAAGGGGATCAAAGGTTATGTGGAGAAAGCGGGAGAATGTTGTGAAACGTATCAGCCATGATTGAATGGTGGAGCAGACTCGATGGGCTGAATGGCCTGATTTCTGATCCTATGCCTTATAGTCTTATGGTCTTATGGACTCTCTCAAACCCATTCATAAGTGTCCAGTTTCCTTTAGGTCTGTCCTCGGCCGTCTATTTTTGAAAGAGTTCCAACCTCGTCCTTCTTTCCAGATTGTTCTAATCTCAAGGTTCTGATAATACCATTGCAGAACATTTTGTAATATCTATTGTTCTTAAGTTCTTTCTGAAAAATAAAGAACAAAGCCATATGTTGCACTTTAATGTTTTTTTACAGTTTTAATACAATAGCTCTGATTTTTCAATTCTATTTCATCAGAAACAAACATTGTTTTTTTTTCCATTTGCTTTATTTTGACTGGGCTAACTTGCTCTGTGAATTTCAATGATGTGTAAATCTGCACCCTGTAACCTTTACCTCCTTTGATTACTTTCCCAATTCTCTGTCCCTTTCTACATTAAATTTCAGAAGTTCAATTTTTAGCCAAATGTTTAGTTCTGTCCCTCATGTATCTTGCTTTCTTCCGCTGCATTTTCTCACATTTTGAAACTGTGTACGCTTATGAATTGTTTTGTGTTGCACATGCTGTCCTGCAAAATGCACGCCTTTCTTTCTTCTGAGGTGAGTATTGCATTCTTGATGTCCACATATTTCTGGCCACATCTCTCTTCCAAGCAAAAGTCCAAAGTCAATTCAATTCAAACTTAGAACAAGTGAGATCAGAGATTCACAACCTCATCAAACTTTTCAGCAGACTGGTTGCTCATCCCAGGGCATGTCCATTAAGCATGAAAATGAGCATATTTAAGTTAGAGTCACTTCAGTGATGCATTCTATTTTGAAAAGTTTTAACTTTTGACTCAAGGAGGGTCAGAAATCTTTGGATATGGTAAAAAAAAAACTCATTCACTAATTTGCAATCACTTTTCTCTGCCAGTTAACTTGGTGGCTATTGTGATCCTGTGTCAGGGAAAGTGCGGTCTCTCCATCTGTACCACCTTCTACCTTGTGGCCATGGTAATGGCAGATCTACTGGTCATTATTACCGGAGTTGTACTGTGGCAGATCAGTTCTTACTATTTCCCAGAATCTTTCTTGAACATCACTCCTATCTGCAGTGTTATCATTGTCCTGTTTTATGCAGCAACAGAATGTTCTGTCTGGTTCACTGTCACTTTCTCCTTTGATCGCTTTGTGGCCATATGTTGCCAGAATCTGAAAAGAAAATATTGCACCAAGAGACTTGCAAGTATGATTCTAGCAACAACCTGCATTACGCTTTGTTTAAAAGACATTCCATTCTATTTTACCTACGAACCTGGACAGATAATTGATGATATTCCCTTATACTGTGTTGTGAAGGCAAGCTATCATACTGACCCTGCATGGTTGGGATTTGACTGGTTTGATAAAATTCTAACTCCATTGCTCCCGTATGCTTTAATTCTGTTACTGAATGCTCTGACAGTCAGACACATTTTGGTGACCAGTCAAGTTCGCAAAGGACTGAGAGGTCAGAACAAAGGAGAGAATCACAGTGACCCAGAGATGGAGAGCAGAAGAAAGTCTGTGATTTTCCTCTTCACCATATCCAGCAGTTTCATATTGCTTTGGTTTCTATATGTTATGGACTTTTTATATTACACCATTACAGGAATTAAACCCCCATATTACAATGATTCTTTATATATATTTGCAGAAGTTGCTGTTATGGTATTGAGTTTAAATTGTTGCACAAATGCATTTATTTATGGGGTGACTCAATCCAAGTTCAGAGAGCAGTTGCTGATTGCAGTGAAATGCCCAATTAAGTCAATTATTCAACTGATGAGGAAGCAAAATGACTGAGTGCAATCCAGAGCCCAGGAAGTGTACAGAGCTGGAGAAGAAACCGAGGGAAGGGTGTTGGGCTACTAGTGGTTTCTGAAATAGGCAAGGGTGTAGACTGGAGGAGGATATAGTGATGGAAAGCATTGCAAGTGCCCAGGGAAGTTACAGAACGAGGAAAGATTTTCAGTTTTTAAAGCACAAACGGTAAGATTTGCAGCTCATTAGAAATTAAGGAAGTTAAGGCTGTCAGATTTGTGAAATATTAACGTTGGTTGTCTTTGACAGGAATCATCAAATTGTTCCCACAGTTCACAGCAAATAAACTGCAGTGTGTCAGTTAATTTAAAGCTTGAGACATTCACACAGGTTTGTGATTTCTCTGGTTGTAAGTTCAGTGATGCACAGCACCAGGAGACAGGTAGAAGCAATTGCCAGAATCTTCCCAGCCATAGGTGAATTGTGACTGAGAAATTCGGGAAGAGCAGGTGAGGTTTCCAGCAAAACCCTTTGATGTTGAGACCAAAATATCTCATTTTCCACTTGGTTGTTTAGGCATGTGAGTGGTGAGGGGACTATTAGAATTATAATTCATCATTCCCCTCATTAATACTTAATCCTACTTCATTAATATACATTCTCCCATTCTACTGTCCACTGGATGGAATTCCCAAGATGTGGGACCTGGCAACTCCAACTTGTGGCTTGATCCTCCAGACTTCCATCTTGGATGCCACACACCAGCAAATCCGGGCACACTCCATGGAAAATGACGGTATGCACCCCATGCCAAATTGGCACCCGTTATGTACCAGGCTCACTTCATCGTCATGGCACATCTCCGATCCATTCAAAGTGCCGTTCTGCTGTATAATGTTGCACTTTGGAGAGACCATCACCTTTCATTGCAAATGATGGTGAAAACACCCCCTTCACCTAACATCCTGGGGTTTATGTCACAAAAGGTGCAGGGAAATTCTGGATTGCCAGCGATCGACTGCCGCCCGATGGCCATTCAAATGTGGCACTAGTGCAGGGAATCCCAGGATGACCAAGCAGTAGCGAGTGTTTCTACCTGAGCAAATGGGAGAATTGGGCTAGCGTCAGATGAGAGGAGCATGCTCCTTGTAAATGAGACAGTTTTGGGATGATAGTGGAAGACAGCTTGCTAGGACTCGTGAGAGAACCCCTCATGAAATTTGATGAAAACGTCACTTGGCCACTTTGTCATTCCGTGTGTTCAAAGATCGCTGAAACCGTCTTCTATGTTTTTCAAGGACCGTAACTTCCGTTTTTCAAGGACCGTAACTTCCCCTCCTCGGTTGTCGAGAACGCCCTCAACCGTGTCTCCCACATCTCCTGCACCTCATCCCTCACACCCCGTCCACGCAATAAGAACCAAAAAAGAATCCCCCTCGTCCTCACGTACCACCCCACCAACCTCCGGATCCAACGCATCATCCTCCGACACTTCCGCCATCTGCAATCCGACCCCACCACCAAAGACATCTTTCCCTCCCCACCCTTATCTGCTTTCCGGAGGGACAACTCTCTCCGTGACTCCCTTGTCCGCTCCACACTCCCCTCCAGCTCCACCACACCCGGCACTTTTCCCTGCAACCGCAGGAAGTGCTACACCTGCCCCCATACCTCCTCCCTCACCCCCATCCCAGGCCCCAAGATGACTTTCCACATCAAGCAGATGTTCACCTGCACATCTGCCAATGTGGTATACTGCATCCGCTGTACCCGGTGTGGCTTCCTCTACATCGGGGAAACCAAGCGGAGACTCGGGGACCGCTTTGCAGAACACCTACGCTCGATTCGCAATAAACAACTGCACCTCCCAGTCGCGAACCATTTCAACTCCCCCTCCCATTCCTCAGATGACATGTCCATCCTGGGCCTCCTGCAGTGCCACAACGATGCCACCCGAAGGTTGCAGGAACAGCAACTCATATTCCGCTTGGGAACCCTGCAGTCCAATGGTATCAATGTGGATTTCACAAGTTTCAAAATCTCCCCTCCCCCTACCGCATCCCAAAAGCAGTCCAGCTCGTCCCTGCCTCCCTAACCTGTTCTTCCTCCCACCTATCCCCTCCTCCCACCTCAAGCTGCACCTCCATCTCCTACCGACCAACCTCACCCTGCCCCCTTGGCCTGTCCGTCCTCCCTGGACTGACCTATCCCCTTCCTAACTCCCTACCTACACTCACCTTTACTGGCTCCATCCCGGCCTCTTCGACCTGTTTGTTTCCTCTCCACCTATCCTCTCCTCTATCCCTCTTCTATCCGCCTCCCACTCTCTCCCTATTTATTTCAAAACACCCTTCCCCTCCCCCTTTTCTGATGAAGGGTCTAGGCCCGAAACGTCAGCCTCTCTGCTCCTATGATGCTGCTTGGCCTGCCGTGTTCATCCAGCCCTGCACCTTGTTGTCTCTATGTTTGCATAACTTGTTTTTTTTCTTTTGCGTGCAATAAACTTCTGTTATTGAAGAAAATCTGTAGACTCGTTTGAATTTGTTGACCAATATGTTAATTGAATAAAGATAGCGTGGACAAATTCGGCCTCAGCATCAGATGGGGCATTCCGAGAGGGAACATCGCTCAATAGGTGGCACTGTTGCCTGTGAAATGTGGAGTCCCTCACCGAACAACATGATTTCAGAGACCAGCGTGGATTTGACTTTGTGAAGTGGCAAGGTTAACTTGATCAAAAGCTGCTTCCTTTCACGCACCTAAACGTGTTTCGTCCTCCAGCAAAGTTTCAAACGAGCTTTCCAAAA